CTACCCAGGGGGACAGCTTGAGGCTCTGTCTCAAAAAAAAAAAAAAAAAAAAAAAAAAAAACTTAAAAATATTAAAAACTATTACATTAATAAAAGTGATCTATACAAAGGGTCTGCAAACTATGGCCTATGGCCCAAATCCCGATCACCCCTGTCTTTATAGATAAAGTTTTATTGGAAACCAGCTATTCCTATTAATTTATCTATGTTGGCTTTTGTGCTACAGGGTTAAGTAGTTTTGACCCACAAAGCCAAATATTTACTCCCTGACTCTTTACAGGAAAAGTTTTCTGATCCCTTGTCTAAAGCAGTGGTCCTGAAACCTAACTGCATGTTAGAATCACCTGGGAACTTTTAAATTCTCTAACACACAGGCCCATATTCCTGAGTAATTACACTAGAATTTTTAAGATTTCTCAGATTCTAATGTACAGCCAAGACTGGTCTGTGGTGTAGGGCTGGCAAACACACTGATACCTGGTGCGTGTGCCCCTAGACATAGAGGTTACAAGCCACACACAGATACAAACCCAGTGAAGAAGTGTAATGACACAGCCAGCAATCTGTGAAGTGGGTGACTAGGAAGAGAAGTGACCTTCATTCCAGGTCTTCATCCAGGTCTTGAAAAGCCCATTAGTAGAAAGAGGAAAGAAGAAAGGGGCAGAGAATACCTTAGGCACAAGCCATTTAACGGGAGCCCCAAGGGTTTGCTCTGCCCTCACTGCACAGATGCTGCCTTGGAAAATGCACTGAAAATACAGGGAAGAGAATTCAGAAACATTGTAAGGGAGGAGTGGGAGGGGATAGAGTGGACTTACAATGAGGAAAACAGAAATATAGTTCACAGATTAAAGAGACTCTGGATCAATGAATACTGTATAAAGACAAAGGATTTCAAGAGAACAAAAGAAGATGGAGAGAGGGGACTGTCCATTACTACTTGAGTCCTTTCTCTGTTCCCCACACCTTCTAGATATCTCGTATCTAAATTGATGATGAAATAATCTGTGGGATTTAGGGACTATTTAAATGTTCAAAAGGACTACAGAAAGGTTGAGGAATCATCTTCAAGAGTTTTTACTAAGATCAGATTTTGGTTTTGTGTGTCCCACCAAGGATGTGGTCAGTTAACACAAAGGCCTTCCTTATCCCTCTGACTCTCAAGGTGACGCTCTGAACCTGGCTCATTAAGCTAGAGTTGCTCTTCTGAATCTCCAAAGAAATATTGCTTTCTGGTGTACAATCATCTCCTGCCCCATCTCTTCCCTTGTAAAGCTCTTGGGCCATTTCTCTGATCACAAGAGAAAAGCTAACCTGTAGGTTTGCCTTCATCTGAAATTGCAGGTTCCATCCTCCCACTTGTTAACGGCTTCTGTTATGTCAGCACCTGCATCACTGGCTGCTGCTAAACTCTTTTGGCCTGAGACAGAAAAACCTAAAATAACCCTCAAGAATGCCATGAAAATGGAAAGTGGGTAAGTGGGACACATTAATTAATGACTACACAAGCTGAGATGGGGTGTTCAAATACCAAGTAGAGCAAACATCTGATAACCAGAGAACACAGTGAATTATGGTATTAATGTATTATTATGTAATGCATTAATTATGTATGATTAATGTAACTATTTAAACACTTAAAAAAAAACATCTTTCAACACTTGAGGAAAACCTTTCTAAATACCTAAATGTGGATACATTTCCTTAGCTGTTCATTGTAAAGGTATTTCATTGTAAGTACAGTTTAATGTTCATTGAATCTTGGTTTAAGATCATTGCAAAACCATAAGATGACCATTTTTGGTAGTTCCTCATATAATAAGAAAACTGCTTCTTTTTTAGTGTGAGAAAGAAATTTTCGGCTCGGCGCCTGTGGCTCAAGCGGCTAAGGTGCCAGCCACATACACCTAAGGTGGTGGGTTCGAATCCCCAGCCTGGGCCCACGAAACAACAATGATGGCTGCAACCAAAAAAATGGCCAGGCATTGTGGCGGGCGCCTGTAGTCCCAGCTACTTGGGGGGCTGAGGCAGGAGACTCGCTTGAGCCCAGGAGTTGGAGGTTGCTGTGAGCAGTGAAGCCATGGCACTCTACCCAGGGGGACAGCTTAAGGCTCTGTCTCCAAAAAAAAAAAATTTTTTTTCAAAGAGTAGAAAGATTAAAGGATTTAGGATGTTCGAAAGTGTTTCATTAAATAATATAATTCATCAACAAACGTGTCTGAAATTCACCCCCTACTTGTATGTAGATAGACTTATAACCGTGACTGAAAACGCAAATTGCCAGAGAATAAGTAGAGTATGATTCCACTTACGAAGTTAGTAAATGTGAAACTTACATAATTAATTGCTTAGGGATGCTGACATTTAGGAAGATCATAAAGAAAGGAAATGATAAGCAGATTTTAGGGAGGTATCTCTGAGATTAGAGGGGAGGGAAGGGGACCAGGGAGGAGCAAAAGATGGGATTCACAGGTGACGGAGGCATGCCATTTCTTCTTCTTAACTGAAGTGATGGATGTACAGGCTTGCCTTGAATTGTTGATTTTCATACCGTGAATATTCCCTGATAGTTACTTTTAATAAAAATCACTTTTAAACATGTAATAGTTGTATCATTTCCCAATTTTTTTTATTCTACACACTCTCACATTAAAGCTGTAATGTAAGCAGTTAAACCCCCATGTGCCCTTCACCTCTATTCAACATTTAGAAACCCCGTCATAATTTCACAAGATTCAGGTCAATATTTTGAGCAAGGCATGATCCTGGAGTTTGTTTCTCATCCCAGTGAGCTCTGATTATGCCATTTCTACAAAGACAATGTCCATCCCCTGATAACCCCTTGGTAATTCCGGAATCACTATTTTTTGATGAAGTGACTCGAGGAATCTCCTAGAAGCTGCGACGCAGGGAGCATCCTCGTCTATTGTTCTGGTGGCGAACATCGCTGTGAATCTGATTGCCTTCCTGGCCCTGTTGTCTTTTGTGAATTCTGCCCTGTCCTGGTTTGGAAACATGTTTGACTACCCGCAGCTGAGTTTTGAGGTTTGCTCCTGTTTCTGTGCCTCTGTTTTCTTTCTGCCTATCTTTTTCTTAAAAAAAAAAAAAAAAATTGTGAACCCAGCCTTCCCTGGCAACCTGCAGTGGATTCTTACACACTGTAGATGCTTCTCACTTCATTGCCCCTTTCTCCGCCTTTATCACCCTCCTTTCCTAGCAGATAAAGTCATTCCGTCCTGACCCCTTCTCCAAGAATACAAATTATTTCAAATGACCCAGTGCTAGCCTGGCAGATAAGGATGGGCAAGGGGAGATGGGTTTTGTAACTAAAGACGGGAAGACAGGGACAGTCCCATCACTGAGAATGTTGCAGAAGAACTGGGAACACCTGCTATTCTAACCAAGTATCTGCTCTTGCTTTCTCCAGCTGATGTGCTCCTACATCTTCATGCCCCTGTCCTTCATGATGGGAGTGGACTGGCAGGATAGCTTCTTGGTTGCCAAACTCATAGGTTATAAGACATTCTTCAATGAATTTGTGGCCTATGAGCACCTCTCAAAATTGATCAATTTGAGGAAAGAGGCTGGACCCAAATTTGTGGACGGTGTGCAGCAATATATGTCGGTGAGTAAACACTTGGATTTCTCCGTGCACTTCATCACATGCATGTACTCGTCGATTACATGTGCCTGTGTGTGTGCTGGGCACGGTGCCAGGTTCCTGGGATATGTCAGAACAAAACAGAAACTCTGTCATCTTGTGGAGCTTGTAATATACACAGCACCTTGTAACGTTCAGAGAAATTGAATTTATCACTATGTGTGTGAGTGTGTGGGGGTAGAAACATGGCTAATCCTTATCCCTGTGACAACTTACTTTGGAAGACTGAGGGCACATCCCCGGAGTTACAGGAGCTTGGACGGGAGTCAATCTACAAGAATGCCTCAGGGCCCTGCCTTCATAGGGTCCCGTGATCATAAAGTGATCTCCCTTCCAGCTATGGCGTTCTGCAAACTCTGAACTGCCTAAATGATACACAGTCCTTGAACATCCCCTAAAGGTAGTAATACACTGTCACTACTCTCCAGAGTCTCTGGCCTGAGAACCTGGAGACAAGCAGCTCATACTTAAGTCAGGACCTCAGGTCAACAGCTGCAGGAGATGCTCCCATCTGCCTGGCCTTTGTAGGATGAGGAACTGAGGTAAGGAGAGGCCATGTTTGCAGCTGAGTCTGTAACTTTTTTCCCCTGAAGAACAGAATGTGGAAAACTCTTAGGGCAATAGTGAATATTCCCAGCCACCACCATTACTCACTGAAACAACCTGTTTGGAATTAATGTCCCAGGCAGGTGTTTAGTTTTTAAAGGAAGGAAGAGAAACAGCATGCGTGCCCCGAACGTGGCCATTCCTTCCTGCCTCCTGAAGGAGACCCAACCTGCAGATTTACTCCCACACAAACTCCCAGCCTACTCCAGGGGAGATTGACCTGTCGTCTACAGTCAGGGGCATTTTGACCCACACATCTGATACAAATGGGGGCTCTGTAGATTTCCCTCCTCTCACAAATAGTCTACAAATAGTGACAGTCTTTCAATTAATCTCACAGTGGAGCTCGGCCAACTATCCTCATTGTTTAGATGCCACCAAAACCAGTTTGTTTCCTGCCAAAAGTAAACAATAGGCTAAATTAAGTGAAATGTTTTCTATCCCCAACTGCCAGTTGCCAGGAGAGAATAGTTTTGCTAATGAGCAAAACGAGCTCTCGATTCTGGCAATGCTAAGCGGTTTTGTGGGAACGTTACTAAGGGGGTAGAGACAGAACAGTAGGGCTGATTTGGGCTTGGGGCTGAGCCCAACCAAAGGCAGGCACAGAAAGGGCGTTTGGAAATAGGAGCTCAATGGCCTCTACCATTGATGAGTCATGATGGGAAAAACATTTTGTTTCTCCAAATTTCTGATTTCCAACTGACAAAATGCAGATGAGTCCCAGAAAGTTCTGCTTACCAGCCTACAACCGGGGGCTGGTGTCCCAACAGTGCCCCGGAAACAGTGCCGCACAATCGAAGCCTACCATGTGGGTGCCTGAGGCAGAACCCCAGAGCTATCCATTGAATTAGATCTATGCTAATTTCCACCTAAAATAAGAGGCAAAATTCTAGGTAGCACCCCTGTACCTAAAATGAGGACTTTATCCCAGCATTTTCTTTTATTGCTGGGGATTTATTCAGGGTATGAAGAGCCAGATTACAATGATTACATTTGTTAGGTAAAAAAAAAATTTTTTTTTTTTTTGAGACAGAGCCTCAAGCTATCACCCTGGATTTTGAATGTCATGGTGTCACAGCTTACAGCAACCTCCAACTCCTGGGCTTAAGTGATTCTCTTGCCTCAGCCTCCTGACTAGCTGGGACTACAGGCACCCACCACAATGCCTGGCTATTTTTTGGTTGTAGTTGTCATTGTTTGGCAGGCCCGGGTGGGATTTGAACCCGCCAGCTCTGGTGTATGTGACTAGCACCTTATCCGCTTGAGCTACAGGC